AACGGTAAATTTTGAGAAGTAGCCAAAGATTCACCAATTTTATACGTCATCTTATATTAGAGAAATGTCGTCATTTTATCGTCATAGATATAACGTTAACGGTCTGTAACTTAGGACCGTCATTTTACCGTCACTTTTACGTCGTTTCAAAGGTGAATTTGACGTAACCCAATGACTAAAAAACGACGTTATAATGACGACGTTATAATGACGACATCTTGCCTGGGATACGATCATACATATCCCTCACAGCACTGAACATTGCAGTAAGATTATAGGGAGATTACAAACTTACACATTTTAATGATCATGTTACTGGTATATACTACTAATCTTACAATAAAATCTTACTTTATAATATTGTTGGAAGATTAATGGAACCTTATTTCAATATTTCAGCAACCTTACGCGCTAACATTTCACTTTTCGCGTATGCTGAAAATATTACAAAACTATGAAATATCGTTTAATATTAACCCATACAGCACACAAAGATTGCATACATATTGTAGCAATCTTTCACTGCAATATTGCAACTTTGCAAATTCACTGCAAAATGTTGCTGCATCGCATTGCAATTTGCAACATTGCAATATTGCTGCAATATAATTGCAATGATCCGTGCTGTATGGGAATAATTGAATTTGATATGCATTTAATATTTCATGAGAAATGTTACTGCGCGCAATATTCCAAAACTTTACGAAAAAAATAGTATTCAGCCGCTAGTTCGTTTGTTTACCGCTGTGCGACGCGCGATGCATCCATTCTCGTATTTGAATTTCAGTCATGAGAAGTATATAAAGCTTTCAAAGAGCAACTGGCAAAAGATTAAAAATATAATTATTTCTATCAGTTCAATTACTGATACAATCCCAACATAGGGAATTCAGATATTGGACTGATTGTTTCTTAGATCGGGCAGATAAATATCTAAAAAAGTTGAAATCATCCATATTGAAAAAAAAATATATATATATATATATTTTCAATATTCCCAAAAATACACTAATAAATAGCTCGTTTTATTTAATTTTATGAATTTTTTGCGAGATTCCATATTAGAGAAAAAAAAAGTTTGGACTATTAAATTATTATTGAAAAAACGATTGAAAGCTATTGAAAACTACCCAGCTAACCATTTGCTTGCGGATTGTTAACAAACGGCAAACAATTCCTTGTGGAACGAGGCTGCCAAATTCAGGGCCTACTCTGTCCTCGAGTGCGCCCCAATTGCAACCAAAAATTTTCTGTTGGCCACCCTGCTAATTTTAACCGTCGGTTAATCTAACCGGACTTTGTGAAATTGGTCCTAAGGGCCAATTTCATCACTGAAAACTTTACATCACTAAAAACAGTATACTCTTCTACTCCTACAGCCTTGTTACTGCCATTGTAGACGGCCCTTAAAGACCCGTCTACAATGGCAGTAACAAGGCTGTAGGAGTAGGAGAGTATACTTTTAAGAGCAAATGGGAATTGCCCATTTCGTTACTCCCCGTCTTTACATCAAAGGGTGCCGTGTAAAGGGCATTCTACAATAACAGTAACAAGGCTGTAGGAGTAGGAGAGTATACTTTTAAGAGCAAATGGGAATTGCCCATTTCGTTACTCTCGGTCTTTACATCACTAAAAACAGTATACTCTCCTACTCCTACAGCCTTGTTGCTGCCATTGTAGACTGGCCTTTACAGAGCTCACTCTCAGTTTAGATGATGTCACGTGACATGCTATGGACCAATCGGCAATACTAGAAAGAGATGCCAAAATTCAAACGCACCTCTCTCTCGGCGAAATAGTGGCGACAGCCAAACAATGGAATCGCTCATTCCAGTATGTATAGAATTCAATGGTCCCTGTATGTTGTATTTCGTCGATATGACAGGTTTTGTAACCTAAATAGTCGTCAACTTTAACTATTAATATCTCGCTTCGCGGGGCAGAGCGACACTTTTTTTTGCTATACTGTTTAGTTTTGTGCAAAAACGCGTCGAATGAGCATAATTTTATCGATATTTGAGGTGGGGCCGCTAAACTGAACAATTACCGTAGTTTTTTTCGCACAATTATATTTTGCATAATCGAGTCGATCGACGAGACGCATTACATTAGTATTGTAATTACACGAAAGTTGTGTTTTTTGCGAAAACAAAATGACGAAGAGCGAAAGAAAAACGGAAGCGACGGGCGTGCGGAATGTTTTTATTACTTCTCTTATTGTAAGCAAAAAATATTGCATTTGTACAATGTAGTTTTATTACACATATATGTTGTAACATTTGCAAATAATCTTTTAAATGAGTCTTTTATATGTAAATACGATGAATATATCAGAAGTAGAGGGACTAATTAAAGCCGCTATAACTCAATTGTTGATTCATCAATATTTCATGTTTCTAATGATTGTTTGGATCGTAAAAGTATATCTGTAAAATAATAATAGAATTAATAAATAATAAATTGTGAAAACACTAAATGTAACATTCGTTCCAGGTTTTTTCCAAATTTCCAGCTTTTGATTCCCTTGTTGAAATTTGTGTCACGGAGTCTTTTTATTTTTCCAGTACATTGTGACTAATGCACAATGTTAATAATAAACAAATAAAGTTGCGCTTGTACATTTATATAATAATACTCGTTTGCTTAGGCAGGAGGAACCGCAGGAACATTTGTGGATATTACGTTATTCCCACTAGATACATTGAAAACTCGATTGCAGAGTGCGCAAGGATTTTTGAATGCTGGAGGTTTCACAGGTCTTTACAGAGGGATTTATCCAGTTATAATTGGTTCAGCACCAACAGGTATAATGCCAGATTAAAACTTTGTATATATATTCTTATATAACACATTACTCTCTCTCTCTCTCTCTCTCTCTCATATTTTAGCTGCTCTATATTTTTTAACATATGAAGAAATTAAAACTATAATGCAGCCAAAAGTTTCCACAAAGTACTATACAGTACTTCACATGGGAGCAGCAACATTAGGAGAAATGGTGCTATTTTAATAATTACATATTATCTTTTTTAATAACAATTTAAAAGACTGAAAAGAAAAAAAAATTAAGAACATGCATACAATTTGATGTTCAAAGTCACTATATAAGTAATTATAGACTATATATTATGTTTTGTTCATATTTAATTTATTTGTTGTAAAAGGAAGATATTTGATCATGTATATTAATCATGTTACTTTATATGCAAAGATAGCATGTTTAATACGAGTTCCAGTGGAGGTCATAAAGCAGAGAAAACAGGCACTGATACACGACAAGGAATCACTTGGTCTTAAGTTATTGTACCGTGGGTATTGGAGTACAGTGTTACGAGATACACCTTTTAGTATTGTACAGTTTCCATTATGGGAATATTTGAAGAAACTGTACAGTTTCCACATCAGGAGAGAAATATATCCAGTGGAAAGTGCAATCTGTGGTGCAATTTCAGGTTTTTATTTTATATTATAAATAAAAGTAAGATAATAAATTATTGTACAGTCACCTATTTGTATCTTTCTCTCTCTCTCTCCCTCTCTCTCTAATCTGTGTACATATTTTTGTAATTTTAGGAAGCATCTCTGCAACTGTTACAACTCCATTGGATGTTGCAAAAACGAGGATAATGCTCGCTAACAGAACAATGCTTTCATCACAACTGACAATCCTAAATATACTTCATGACATATATATAGAAAATGGTTTTCGTGGGTAAGTATTTCTCAGTGGTCTTTTTTTCTCTATAATAAAAGATTGACAAATGATTTAAATATTTCTTATTCGTTGGAAATATTCTTGGTAATATCTTTGCACAAAGTAAGATGCATTAAATACTTCAATACCATAGACTATTTGCCGGTCTTGGACCAAGAATAACATGGATCACATTAGGAGGTTTTATATTCTTTGGAGTTTATGAAGAAGCAAGAGTTCTCACAAAAAATATTTTCGATGCTAAGATAATAACTACGTGAGTTTATATTGTCTTATAAAAAAAAAGTTACATAATAGTGCATTATTAGATATATATTGTTATTTGAAATATGTATAAAAAATTTGATTTTTTCAATGTACAATATATTTATTTTTCCTATATTCTGTGATATAACAATATTTAATATATATATAATCCCCGTTTATATTAATATAATTTATAAAAATACAATTTTATATTATTTTTTATATCTACATATTTTTTGTTTTCGTGATTATTTGTTACGTATTACACAAAATTTTTTGAAATAAAGAGATGCTTTGTTTCATAGAAACAATCATAAACAATTCAGCCAGAAATACTGATACTAATAAAGTGAGTATTAATTTGTAGCAATTTGCACTTATAATTTTTATTTATTTGCATTTGTCTGAACAATGTTATTAACCTCAATTTGGAAACTATATTTCCTTATAAAAAATACTGAAATATCAGTAGTTTTTACATTAAAATTTATATGCAGAATTTTGAACGTATTTTTAGCAAATATTGATGACTTAAGAGCAAGATCTTTAACTTTATTTCACATAAAACTTTCTAATAAGGCTTTAATTTAATAGTTGGTCAAAATTAATATCCAGAATTGAGCATTTAAAAGAACGAGATTTACAATTAAATTTTTTAAGGAAATACTGGTGCCAAAATTGGGCAAACAAATTTAGTCGAAAATGCAATTGTGTTAACATATGCTTTTCTTAGCTTTATGGAAGATAAGAATTGCACATATGATGTGCGTATATAAAATGTATCTTTAGGCTTAATTTGTTTTTTAATTATTAAGAGAAATATCTTCGCTTGCTCTCTCTCTCTCTCTCTCTCTATTATCATATATAAAAATATAAAATATGTGATATTCTTCAACAACATTATATCATATTTCAGTTTCACAATTTGGCTTTTAAACTACCCATTAATTTCTCCAATTTCATAGCTTTTTGCAGGTTTCCACTAATATTTAACTTGCCTGTCATAAATGCTGCAGTTGGCTTTAGTTTACCTGTCGATAAAGCAAATTCAAAAGAATTATATTAATTATATTAATAATACATCACATATACAGTGATCATATATTAATGTACACATATACACATACAAAAAAGTTACATTCACATGTACCTGAGAACATGGCAAAGAAATTTTCTGAATCCATTGTAAGCGTTGCATCTGCTGGTTGACTTGGTTCTCCTTTTCCAGTAGCGCCTTTCCCATTTTTTAAATCCAAAAACCACGTCCCAGCTTCTTTCCCGCCGACTTTTAGCCGGACGCACGTCGGTGAGCCGCCCGCCTGGTAGTGTACCCCGCCGTAGCGACGGAGCGCTCACGCACACTACTAGACGTGCGGCTAAAGGTCGGCGCTGATTGGCCAGATTTTACTCAATAATAATTCCTTTATTAAGCGTTATAGAAAAAAATGTTACAGGACTTTTCTGTTCAGTTTACTGTGCTGATTGACCAGACTTTACTCAATAATAATTCCATTATTAAGCGTTATAGAAAAAAATGTTACAGGACTTTACTGTTCAGTTTACTGTGTTCTACCTGCTCACGAGCGTTGTCAAGGGTGCTTTGGGACATCCTGTATAATACTTATAAATAAATATATACTTGTGTATATTCACATTTGTAATCATGTTTTAATATTTGAATCAAGAAACGAAAAGAAATTACCTTTTACATTAAATTGATATATTGCACCAGTTCTGTTTACTAGTTCGTTACTTAAATGTGCATTAATTGCAATAAATATACGTTCCACTTTTCCCACTTCATTATTATTCGTTTTATCAGAATTATGTTTTTTATCTTGAGAATCCAAAATATTGTTATCATCCAAAAAGAAATCCATCATTAAATTATTCTTGTTTGCTAAAGAAAAAATTACAAATATCTTTATTCCCAAAGCAATCATTTAACAACTTATAATATCTAGCAATTTTTACATATCTGTTTTTATAAAGATTTTATATGTAGAAAATGATTTGAGTAACAATACAAAATAATATGTAAACTTTATCAATTATTATATATAATTGTGATAATCTGTGTGTATTAATAATAATCTATTAATTTTTAGTTATTCATAAAGTATAGAAAAAAATAATGATACCTGGATTACATGCATAATTTGTAAAATCAGCAACGCCCTCGTTTTTTAATATGTCTTCATCAATCAGAAATTGCCCAGTAATAGATTTACTATCTTTACAAAGCAAAGTGTAAACAGCATCTGCTATAATTTCAGGTTTTCGACAACTATCACTCGACTCCGAACCTGATAACATCTCCATTGCAGCAGTATATATAGCTGAAAATAAGGTAACACAAAAATAAATTCTATACAATTATACAATATATTTTTCAATATAAAACGCAATTAAAATAATTAAATTTAAACTCTTTTTGCACGATAGATAAACTCAATAGAAGTGATTTATCATGTTTTAAGGGGACGCGTTTACCTAGAAATTTTCAAAAAATCAGTTTTGGATTTTGACATTATCTTGTAGTGCAACATCTTGAAAGTATTCTCAGAAAATGTCAAGTTAATCCAAGCAAAATTGACAAAGTTATAGAGGTATAAAGTATGTTTCTCGAAATAGCGTTCGGAACAAGTATGAGACCTGCCGCGCGGCAGTTGCTACACGGATCGATAATTCCTTTTGAGAGATTTTTAGAGGTAGATTAGTGGTAGATTAGATATAAACGGTAGGACTAAAGGTAGGTTAAATAAACAGAATAGCAGTTAGCCTTGAGCTGTGTAGAACGGTTATTTTCGGCCTAAAACTTAAATTTAAACGTATTTTTCTCAAAATCACGTTTTCAAAATCGGTGACCAACATAACTCAAAAAGTAATGAATAAATTTATTTGAAATTTTTCTTATTTTAGAATTAAAAATCTAGGCGTTATCGGGGACTTTTCTTTTTTTGCCTAGATTTTTTTTTACATGCGAAAAACGCATTTTTTTATCCAAAATCGATTTTTCAACTTTACCACGCCGCCATTTTGTTAAAAAATAATTTTTCAAAGATCCAGCCCGATGAATCCTAGATAATTTAATATATTATCGAAATTTTGTCGAATTGTTGATTTCATATAATCTTGCTCCAAGCTACAATGGTCACCGCAGAATGCCTAAAAAACAAGGTCGTTCAGGGTATCGGCTATATCTCGTTTATTTTTTAATATTTAAAAAAGGAAAAAAAAACCGTTCAATATGTACCCTTAACAGTACACTAATGTTTTTTTATAAAAGTGCATCGGTTTTTCTTTTTAAATTCCCCAAAAAGTATTTTCAACCCTCCTAGATAAGCGTGCCCCCTTAATTGGTTCGATATCACTAATTTTCTACATTTAAGATGATATGTTGCTAATATTCGCCTAATGCACTATTTGCAACGATGAATGCTATGATTATTTCCTTTGTCAGTCATACCTAATTAAAATACGATATCAATCAATAATATACCTGTCTTTGGCCAAACAGCGTTAACCGCGATACCGTCAGGTTTAAATTCCTCCGCCATACCGAGAACACACATAGACATTCCATATTTGGCCATTGTATATGCAACATGATTTTTAAACCAAATCGCTTTCATATTTAGTGGCGGACTTATATTAACTATGTGTGGATTTGCACTTTTCTTCAGATATGGTAAACAAACTTTTGATCTAGAACACAATTTTTTATTACAACATGGATGATAAAACGACAATCCGAATTTTTATTTTCTTTTTCTATTTAACTCTATCATATATATAATATTATATGCTTGAACATCAAGGACATCATGGTATAATAAAAAGATACCTACACAAGAAAAGTTCCTCTAGCATTAATATTATTCATCAGATCGTATCTTTTCATGTCGGTTGTGAGAGTGCCCGTTAAAGAAATAGCGCTTGCATTGTTCACTACAATATCTATACCGCCAAATTTTGCGACAGCATTTTCTACTGCATTAATCACTTGGGCTTCATCGCGCACATCCACAATGCAAGGTAGAGCTTTACCACCAACCGCTTCAACTGAAAAATATATATTATATGTTTTTAAATTTAAAAATTCTTTTATATAACACAATATTTAGCGCTTAACACGATATCTATCGTACAAATATAAAATTGCAAGATATCTCAATCTTACATATTATATAAACAAAAAAAAATGAGCACAGTAAAAAATTTTTGAAATATATAATTAAAAATTAAAATATTTTTTTAATTTCGGAACTATAGGCGTCCATGTTATATGTAATGTAATATCCACCACTGATAATGTACAATAAAATCAAGATCATCGCATTTAATGTAATTAATAAATTACAAGATATTTACTTTTCTTGATTAGAAATAATTTCTTTAGTATATAGTGGGTTAATTTTTGTCAAGATTTAAAAATAAATATTTCTCCAAATGCAGAAATACTAATTGGTAAAACTTTATTTAAGTGACGCCGCAAAATGAGATTTATATATACCAGAAATCCGCATCTGTTGAAGACAGATGTAATAAATAATCAATAATTACTTTCGCTAGCTGCTGTATAAATGGTACCCGGTAGTTTTGGATGTGGTTGGGCAGTTTTTGCAGCAATAACAATATTTGCACCATCTTTCGCCGCTTTCAATGCTATACTTTTTCCAATACCCCTTGAAGCTCCTGTAATAAAAATAGTGCGACCAGCCAACTTCCTGCATCAAATATATATTTATGAAGATCAGTATCATTTTTTTTCAACAATATAAGATTTATGATAATTGTTGGAAACAAATTCAAATCTACAATCGCACAAATAATATTTGAGATATACTTGTGATATTCAATTTTAACAGAATTTACACACTTAAACCATCGAAATATTTAATAATTAAAATTTCAAGAGACACTGATGAAATAAAACTACATTGAAGTTTATTGGAAATTGTTGATTATAACTTTTATTGAAAAAATTGTCTCAATTTCCAAGAGTTAATGCTACTCTTTTATTCAGTGGATATATTACTGAACATAGCGTATTTATTAAAAATGACAATACAGTTTTACTTATCAATATGAGATATGATAAAAATGTTGTACTGTAACAATAAAGAATTTTGCTCAATTAAAATTTTAAATATAAGAGAAGATTTATGCCTTATAATTCAATATATTTATCATATTACGTGTTAATCGCAAATAATTTATTTTTAAAATAGTTTCAATTTTTGTATACAAAAGTCAATGAACAATTTTTGCATACAAAAATTGAAACTATTTTAAAAATAAATTATTAATTAAATATATATTTTTTTTTACATCATGACAAATCATATAATCATAAAATTGTAATTTATTGCACATTTAGATTTCTAAACTATCGTTCAATATTAAAAAATCTGTATCACATATGGTAATGATGATGAATGTGTTTCATACATTTGTATATATTCATGATTATAAAATTATACTTACCCTGTGTTAATCATTTTTCGTTTTTTACAATATGTTAGCGCGAATTAAATGTCGAATGTTGGTGCACGAGAAGTATACGTGGTCTTGTATACTATGGGTGTGTTCCGATATACACTGCCAGTACTGGCAGTGCTGAAAAATTGTTCCGTTATTAGCACGCAGTGGAAGAGGTAAAAAAAATTAAAATGAGCGTTGCTCGATCAAGATTTGCAAATTCAAAACTGGAAAAAATATTGCTAATGTCTTCTATCGTTACTGGCACTTTTATACTTCAATCAACTTCAATACCCAGTCAGCCACATCTGTTCTAACAGATATTGCCAAGTGCTTGCTACAAATTATTGTCAGCAAAAAGGCTACAAATTTGGTACAAGAGTTGTTATTAGTGTATTTATCAACACTTTAGTGCGAAAGAGACCAATCATCTTTGAGGGTGCCATTACATGGTGCGCGGAAACGCGGATTAGCGTAACGCGGAACGAGAGTGAAACCAAACTGGGTACCTATTCTAGGTTCAAAGTACATTCAGTAAATAATAGTTCGCAAGTGTATTTAAGTTCCGACTGACAACGTGTCGGGTTCGGACGTGTTTTTGCGTACTGCGTATGTCATATTATCCCAGTCAGCCACGTCTGTTCTAACAGATATTGCGAAGTGCTTGCTACAAATTATTGTCAGCAAAAAGGCTACAAATTTGGACTTAAAGAGCTCATCCTCTCAATAATGCTCACTGGGCTATAATTCTGTGACTTTTGATCCGATCAACTTGAAACTTTCAGGGATTATTTATATAATACTTTCAGAAAATTTCATTTTTGAAAAATCGATTTTTTGGACATTTATGACTAGGTATAACCCCCTTAATTTTAAGAGAATTGCTAATTACTTTAATATTAAATAGATTTTAATATTTAATAGGTTATTTTAATATTTATATGCAATAAAGAACGCTTTGGTATCACTAATAATGAAGAATAAAAGCATTCAAGCAAATTACATTTTATTTCAATTTTTATATTTACAATTTACATAATAAAAAGAAATATTGTGATGTATTCTCATAATCATATATATAAGAAATTAATATCGTGTGTTATTTTACAGAACATCCCATTTATTTCATTTCAATCATTTAGATGCAGATCCTTTCTCAACATGTGTGCAGTCACATACATCATCCTATTTTTCTTCTCCAAGTATACATCGATTGCTCGCTGACGCATCTCTTGCCACTCGTATAAATCTCGAAATATGGGGCGAACAAATTTCATGCGTCCTTGTTCAGTGGCAAAGTCCAAAGCGTCGGAAACTTTCGGCTCCCATCGACTTTTGATACACAAGCGCAACCAAATAAACCTGTGAAAAATACATGCACGTTATATTATTTAATTGTAATGAGTTGTATTCATAAATAGAGATGCTTATATAATACCGTATTTCAGAATTCTTCACCAAGTCCAATTGATAAGTAGATGTCATCAATTGTATCTTATCAAGTGATAAAGCAGTAGATGATTTATATAGATTGGTTAAAAATGTTACTTTTTGACCAGGAGACAAGTTCTCTATATCCGACTTGACGAAAGGTGAAGCAGTACTGTCGTCCCATTGGATCCATCGTTTTGCTAACTCGGTACACGCGGTTGTCAAAGTTTTATCGTAATCGGGTATCACAAGTGGCATACCTGGTTTATGAAACCATGTATCCCAATCGACAGAATTTAGCAACTAAAAATCAAGGTAGAAATTATCTACAATATTACAAATATTAATGTTGCCACTCTAATTTTTTTTTTTTTTGTAAAAAGCAAGTTACCTCGACTTTCTCCGAAAAATACTGATACAAATAATCCTTCCATATATCAGTCTTTATACTTTTGTACTTGTATGTATTCAAATAAGATTTTAGAAATGGTTCGAACACTTCTGGTCCACCTAAAAGCTCTTCCAGATAAAACAGGAATGTATGTCCTTTTTCATAAGGCACAATCGAAAACGCGTCATCAGGATCGACACCGATTAAATTTGGTACCAAGTTCGTTAGTTGATTGGTTTCGCCGAGATTTTTAATCTATAATAATAATAATAATAATAATAATAATAATAATAATAATATACATAATAATATACTTTTAAAAAAGATAGCAGTGGAAATGTAGCAACATATGTTTAAATATATTGTTCTCGAGTAATATGTTTCATTGCTTATATTTATTTGTTATTTAATTGATATTAAGGACATACCTCTTCTCTCAAACATTCAATACCATGCAATGCTTCAAATTGTCTCAATTTTTCATTAAACATTTTTGCTTTAATCTTCCTCTCCACAAACATAGTGAAACCTTCGTTCAACCAAAAGTGTTCAAAGTTTGCATTTGTAACCAAATTTCCTGTCCAACTGTGTGAAATTTCATGAGCAATGACATTGGCTAAAGAACGATCTCCAGCAAGTATGGTCGGCGTCACAAATGTCAGACAAGGATTCTCCATTCCACCAAATGGGAAACTCGGTGGTAATACTAATATGTCATACATGCCTGCGCAAATGTATTATCCAGAATATAATAAAACTAGACTAAGGAAAGAGTCTTTTGAATTATAATTTATAAAAAAAATTATTATACACATATTAAAATAAGTTTTTATACTTTACCCCAAACATAAGGACCACACAATTGTTCAGCAAATTGCAGCATTGTTTCAGTTTCTCCAAACTCATATGCACTTTGATCAATGAATTCTTTTTCAGCCCATACTTTACTTCTAGGACCAACCTGTTTTGACACTAGTGCACCCACAGCAATAGCCACCAAATAGGATGGTATCGGTACTGGCTGATGGAATTCATATATTTTTTTGTCTGAATTTTCTGATACTCTATCCAAAAGTGCTGACATTACAACTGTAAGTTCTTTTGATATAGAGATCTAAAATATATGAAGTACATAACAATGTGCGAAATTGAAATTAGACATTTCTGTTTCAGTTCAATTAAAGCAATATTTGATTGGTTTATTTACTAATATATTTATCAATACTTCAATATCATGTTTTTTGTGTTTATATAAATAAATAAATATAAATTAAATGTATGACTGTTAATTATGTTTAAATACTTACCTTAGCAGAGTATGTAGATTTGACAGATGGTGTATCCTGGCAAGGAAACATGGATCTAGCATGTATAGCCTAGAAATATATAAATTTATATATTACACACGTTAATGTAAATTATAAAAATTATATTTATTTATTTTTACCTGACATTGAGAAAATAGATAAGGATGTATACCACCAGCAGTTTGCTCAGCTGTTAGCCATTGCAATGAAGTAGCATCTGGAGATGTTTCATACATAATCTCAATTTTATACCTGAAAAGAAATATATCAAATAAATTGATAATTTTTAATATCTGTTTTTCTTAAAAGCATTCCATATTTACTTAGTATTATCATCTCCAACAGTCTGCGGTAATTGAACAATCAATTTACTTCCAAATTCAACATCAGCTTCTATGGAATGTTCTAAACCAGATCCATCAACAGCATTTGAGGTATTTGATATAACAAGTTTGCGGTTATCTAAAATCTAACTTTTGGATATGTATTTATATGTATTTATATAAAACACATTTTTTTTTCAAAATAAAACAAAATTTTCACTCACTATTTCATTAGCCGAAGATGTCTTTTTTTCTATATGCAATATTGCTTTGCCTTCAAGGACTTTTCGATCAAAATCAACAATTAATTCCAGATGCGTATGAGTTACAACTGCAAGATCTGTAATAATTAAAAACTTATGAGTCATGTACAAACACACACAATTTTATAACAGAAATAAATTTCAGAATTTTATGCATGTGTATTTTTAACAAGTTTTATACATTTAAAGACATTACAAAATGTAATAAATTATAATACTAAAAGAGAACAATATGTGATCTTAAAAATTATCAAAGATATCGAGATTTCATCTTTCAAATATGTTAATATACTAAAGAGTGATGGACTTCCTTCATTTTGTCTTTTTTAACAAAAAAAACAGATTTTACTTTTAAATGTTTAATATTATATTGATAGCAGCTTTAAAAAGATACCTGGTCTTGCATAAGAACTCGGATCTTCAGGACTTAGAGCCATTTCAAAAGTGTTTTAACTTTGACGAATACCTTTCGATAACTGTGGTCAAATTGAAGTCTCTCTAACGAGATAAACTTGATATCGTATATTGTTTTTTTTCTATAGATATTTGTTTTTTTTTCTTTTTTTTTGGGGTATTCCGCAATTCCGCTTTTTTTTTCCTATCTTTTTTTTTTCCTTGTTTGATATTATATCAACCTGTTTGCCGGTACAAAGTACAAAGTATCGGATCGCAAATCACGAATCACGAGTGCCGGATAATTATTTTATGCGTTCAGCAAATCAAACTATTATACGCAACGCATGGATGACTCAATACAATGGACTCATTCGGCTCATTCGTTTCAGTTATATACATACATACATCTTCTATATAGACTTCTTTCTTTGTTTTTCTCTTTACCAAGAAATCTTCTTAATGAAAAAAATGCAGAAACTTAAATATTAAAAAAAAAAATCGATTAAATGGATTAGATGTCCCTTCAAGTTACTTAAAATAAAATAATCCCTAACAACACACATGTCCAGAGTCCCAGATAGCCAAGTCTGTTCGAACAGATTTTGCCAAACGTCTGCTACAAATTTTTGTCAGCAGAAAGATTCCAGATTGTATACAAAGTCTGTTATATCAAATAATAATAGCAGAATGTCAGCAGAAATGTTACAAAACCTGCTGATGTGGTCACAGATGGCTATGGTTTTGGCATGGATTTCTGATTAAATTTGCTGCCAATCTGCGCGCATGCTGCTAGCATTTTGCTATCTGGGGTACATCCAGAGAATGTTTAACATTCTCTGGATGTCCTCTGGATATCTTCTGGATATGTGTGCTTTGTTAGAGACAGCATATTCCAGAAAAGAAAAACAGAGCTTGAGTGTAGAATAAATAATTATATTGAACGCGTATTACTCTATTTTTAAATAATTGTTATTTTTTTACATTTAGCAATAATTTACTTGGCGAATTATTCCCATACAGCACAGAACATTGCAATTACATTACAGGAATGTTACAATCTTGCAAATTGCAATGTAATATTGTTGAGACATTATTGGAACATGTAATTGAAATATTTCATGAAAATGTTACAGCAACATTCCAAAAATATTACAAAAAACAGTATTCGGTAATCGCTAGTTCGTTCATTTACCGCTATGCGGCGCGCGTTGAGTTATCTAGCCTGCATTTAAATTTTAGTCATGATGATTATATAAAGCTTGCAAAGAGCGGCTAATAAGATTAAAGGTATAATAATTGTTTTTATCAATTTAATTTGTCTGATACGACCCCAACATAGGGAATTCAAATTAAATTGTGAACTAATTGTTCAGAAATCGGACAGATAAATATCCGAAAAAATTAAAATTATATAAAATTGAATTGTGAACTGATTGTTCAGAAATCGGACAGATAAATGTCCGAAAAAATTAAAATTATCCGTTTATTGTCTATATAAAATGTAAAATAGAATCTAATATCTATATAAATAAAATTTTAACTTTTATGAATTAAATTATTTAAATTTATTTAATTATGTTATTATGTTTAATTATATAAGTGCTTTTGTCACATTATATACAGGGTGGCTCACGTAAAGTGTTACAAGCTAATAACTCTAAAAATATTTGTCAAATCAAAAA